AGTGCTGCTGCAAACATGTTGCAATGGACTGACAGCATGAGTGTGTGAGGCATCTTACCAGGCGGTTCAGTCCGGTGCTATGGTTCGTGTTAAACTCATTTCCACAGAATATTTGCAGAGAAAAAGAAAAAGTTAATAATCACAAGTCATCCTTTCGCTGTATATTTAATTCCAAATGCTGTGGTTAACCAGAAATGTCTTTTAAATCCTGATCTTGCCATTAGTAGACTAAACCTGCTACTTCCTTAAAACGTAGCAGTTTCTCAGTATAAGATATTGGACTGATGTCTTCAGGCAACCTACGTGATAGGACCAGGTGAGATTTTATCTACCATAGAATACAGCCCGTCTAGTAGATTTCCGTACTTTGTGAAGATAATTCAAGTGTATATTGAAATCTGGTTGCACTAATTGACAGAGAAAATTACTTCTGGAACCATATTTCCAAAGGGCCTCTGAATTTATTCCTTCAATTTTACATGCATGGGCTTCCATACCTTTGTGAATTTAACGTTTGTGTACATCACTCTGACATTTCCCAGCATTTGAAGAACAATTTCAAAGACTATTTTTGCACATGTGGTATTAGGACATTTTAGTAGAACAGATTTTATAAAACTCATTTACATTCTGCACATATAGCCATCTTGGTATCTTCATCCTACTTTCAAGTACTTTAATCAAAATTTTAACATGGAATTTTCTTAGAAGAGAGACTGAATTCCAGACATAAAACTGAAAAATAAGAAAAAAAAATTCTGCCTCATTTTCTATGCTTAGTTTCTGTTCCTCAGAGGAGGAGAAGCCTGAAAAGCTTCTGACTGTAAACAGAAATATCACTGAGCTCTTTAGTAAAATCTGTCTGATATACACCAGCTTCTGAAATGACGGTACCCAAAAAAATAACGCAGGCAATTGATTAATAATGAGGTCAGAAATACAAATAAATTTACTTCTAATGAAGACTGGAGACACAGTAATCAAAGTGTTAAAAATTCATTTCATGCACATCTCATTTGCCTCTTAGCTGATATTTATCACATAATTCTGTGAGAAAGTAGAGGCCTAAGATGCTCCAGATAAATGTCTCAATTAATTGTACAGAGGTAGCCCTCTTTGAGCTGAACCAGAGCTGTGAGCTCTTTATTAAAAGCACTATTCTGTAGCCTGTAACCTTGTTCCTTGACTCCTCTCTAGTTTCCAATTTAAACAAGTCCCCATGCGGCCCGCTCTAAAGGGCTTTGTCTCCCTGTCATTGTTAAGAGAGCCGAGGCATCCTGGAAGTGTGAAATCAGACCTCATGAGCTGAACGGTTCCCCAGGGAACGCCGGACCGCGCAGAAGGTCAAAGTCATGGGCTGGACCATCTGAAAGGGTCTGATCGCCGGCCTGTGACACAGCAAGCGGGGTGGGGGCCGGGGGAGAGGGGAGCCAGGGGGCTAGAATGGAACACGTCTTAATTAAAGTCCGAAGACAGCAAAACAAACTGTTTTCTAGGCAGGCCTTCACATGGAGCTCGGATGGCGCTCTGCTAACGAATCGGAGTCGCTAACTATTATTCCTTAAAATAACAGCACTTTCGCTGAAGTTGGTCAAACCCGTGGCGCGTCTCTTCCCACCCTGCTTGCCTCCCAGCAGCAAGGCGGAGGTTTGGAGTTTTATTTGGTGGCCCAAGGAAAAGGCGGCCTGCACCCGCCGCAGTAAAGGCGATGCAAGCACGGCCCGCAAAGCCAGCAGCCTTCCACCACGACCCGCCTAATTCTGCTGCCGGAGGCGCGCGTTCACCCGACTGAACCGGCGCTCTGTCACGGGGAACGGCCTGGTGCTCCCCCAAAACTCACGCTCGTCTGCACCATCTGAATATTTCCCCGCGCCCTCGAGAAGGTCTGCCCGTCCCCCCGGGAACCACAAGCGAGCCAAGACGCGGGGAACGGGGAAAACATAACTTCTTCCAGCTGAGGAGGCAGGGAGAAAACAGCCCTGCTCTGCGTAGCTAAAACACCGTGGAGGATTTAAACGAAACTTTCTTCTCAGGAGGAGAAGGAAAAACTAAGCACCACACCCAACGTCTTTCCATTTGTTAGACTGTAGTTTCGAAAAAACATACTAATACATACATATTCTCCAGGTAGGGCTATTTGCTGCGACCACAGTTTCCAACAGAACGGAACTTTGCATTGGTGGGAGCGCTAAAAATGTGTTTTGGCCGTGGAAAGATGTTTTTTTTTTTTCTGGGAGAAACGCCCTCATAGGCCTGGCAATTCTCTCAAAGGACCCGCTCCTAGAAGATGCTGTATTTCAGCTGTCCCCAAAATGAAGGTGAGCTTTCAAGCTCCATCAGGGAATCTCTCAACTCCTCAGCATCCCTCCCTTTCCTAGACTTCCTTGCAAGCGGGCTGAGCGAGGAGAAGTCTCACTTTGTTCTTTTTTCTGGGGCATTTTCAAAACCCAGTTATGGCACGTTCCAGCAGCGCCCCATTTTCAAACTGGCAGTGCCCACCTGCTCCCCTGCCCACGATTTCACTGAAATTTCAGCCCACCCTGGCACCTGGTTGAATGCATGCCTACGGGGCGGGGGGGGTGTGCTGTGTGTGTACGGTAAACCGAGGCCTGAACCACCGCCTCGATCTCGCTCTCTTCCCAAAAATAAAATCTGCACTAACCTTAACGATTTGAAGTGCACTGTCCGACACTGAGCTACTGAAACTGGAGGAAAAACTGCCCTCAACTATCAACAGTTTATTAGGGGCTTAACTGAAGTGACCTACTGTAGCAGCATTCAGGCTATGGGCTTTCTGTGGAAAGGAGAAGAATTGAGGGTTTCATTAAAAAGTAATTTGTGCTTTTTACTCATTCATTCAACGGGAGTCTCAATTGCTCTTTATTCACACAGAGTTAATACAGTATTACAATGCTGCTCAATGAATGTATGGTAACAAAAGAAAAATTTCACATTTTGAAAGGAAAAAAAAATCCTTGCAACTCTACTTAGATTGATGACTACTTAAAACATTACAGAAGTCTTTTTCCGTCTATGCTTATGCTTGATCATGGAATATTAAGGATTGTTTAAAACCATTCAGCCCAAACTAATCAATTTTTATTTATTACTTCACATGAAAAGATTCCTGAAAGGGAAATGGGATACGTTCAGCAGACATGAAACAGAGAAAACCACACAGGTACTATACAGGTGTTTCAGCTACTTTTCAGACTCTGGGGAGGGCAAAAGATTAACTCTGAAAAAACAATATAGTAAGAAGAGCAAACTAGTCCTTAGCTTTTACTAACACAAGCAATCCTTAGTTGTGTAAGTTATGCCACTGATGACAGCACTCTCCACACTAACTAATAAGCGTTGCTCAGCTGAACAAAGGTGGAGGGTCAAGCTTTATACAAGTTTTACAAACATGATTTATTGGCAATCATCAAATAACTATTTTGAGTTATTTCTGAATATTGATATTCAAAGTTTAATCTGAAATGAAGGATCTGTACATACACACAAGTTACTAAAAATAGCTATAAATTCCCGTGGTAGTTAATAAAACCCCTTTGTCCTCTTTTCAAAATACCAGGTATTTTTTTTCTACAAAATATGCAAAGATTTCTGTAATTTCTGCAATGCACAGCTATCTTACAAAACATATCTGCCATATTAATGTTTCTTCTTGCTAATGAACAGAGTATGTGGGACATGGGAAGGTACTGAGTGTTTTTCCCATCTTCCTGACCGTCATTTTAAATGTAATTTCTGGAAATTTTTGGTAGCTCTGTACATCTTTAATTGAATCCAATGTATTTCCAAAAAATTTGTTCAACCAGCACAAATGACATGTTGATCTGGAAAAGTCGAAGACTGAACGAGGTCAGGGACTGAATTATCCCATTTGCCCCTGAATAACTTAATCTCTCTCTCTGTTCAGACCACATTGGATTATAAGGTCAAAGCTGAGTGAGGAATCTTTTTAGAAGCATTTCTCCAACCTCCCAAAAATAGAATCTGTTGTTTTGTATGCCACAAACTGGATGATCCGTTTCAGCAATAAAATGTTTGCTCTGTTACCTTGTCTGAGAAAAAAAAAAAAAAAATACCGGTACTCATGTTAATTTACAAAAAACTGTTAAAAGGGGAGCATGTTGCTATGTATCTACATCTGCTCCTACAACAGAAAGTTTATGTCCACAAATTGCACTTCAGTTAGCTAAAACAGTATAGTTTCCTTTTCTTTCCCCCCTTCCTTTTTTTTTTTTTTTTTTTTTTTTAATTTAAAGCAGAGATGGCTATTTTCTGACACAGAAGCAGGTCATTTTGCTCCACTCAATTCGTGCAGTGTGAATGTGATTGTACTTACAGGAGGTAACTTGGACGTTTCTGAAGAAGTATGGTCAGTACAGCTCAAATACTTTATTTTCAAAAGCAAAAGGTTAAATTATCCATTCAGCTGATAGCACATAAAATAGAAAATAGTTTTTTACTTCCCTTCTTAAACAGGTAAGTGATAGTTACAGGAAATTGCATTTATTTGAAATGTCTGAAATCAACAGCAGTCTTGCTAAATATCTGGAAGATATCAAGCAGTTATTCTGGCAACAACTTTAAAGTAGTATCTAAGTCTAGCACCTTTCATTTCCCTTGTTCTCTTGAATACAGATTTAATTTGGATAATTTTGTAGATTTTTATCTACCAGAAAAAGAAATCTTTTCTATGACTTTTTTCCAGGAGTTCTGACGGAGAAAAATGTGTATTTCATCTTTCTAAGAAATAACCTATATAGGGCTCTGCTAGCATGAGAGCGACTTGCTGTATTGCTTAAAAAAGTTTTGTTTGTTTTTCTGCGTATTTATTCCTTAATGAGCAGAAGGTGGGGCTGTACAAACAGACAATAACCTTTAGATAAACTTCTGTTCTAACTATTTTTATTTTTTTTTTTCCACTTCTGAAAAGGCTCGGTCTTACTATGGTATTTACTGTCAACAGAAACTAAATGAATCCTTGCCTGTGACATCAGCTGCCATCAATGCTTCTGCCCTGATGACCTTCACCTGAAGAAATCCTACATCCTTCATGTTACGGAACATCATCATTGGACTCTGAAAAATAATAAAAAGAAAAATAATTCTGGATTGCAAAAAAGACAAACCAAAAGCAGTATTAATAGCCTCCTCCCTAGGCCAGATATAAGTCAGTGTAATTCTGTTGAACATACTCATACTTTTAAATATTATTTTATGAACAATGTACAGCTGTCAGTGTTTCTTTCAGTATTTTGCAACTTACCAATGAAAAATGCAAAGGAAAAATTAGAATATGAACGATTAAATCTAGCACTAATTCTACTGAATTAATCCCCTAATAGTACATGAACAACTGTCCATTCAAAAATTTAAGTGATAGCAGTATATTAACAAAATTAATACAAACAATAAAACACTTCCTCTCCCTGAACACTTCTGTGAGATCTATGTTCACATTTTCCCTTTGGTCGCTCCAATAATATTCTGAACAGTGTCTTAGGGCCAATATTGTTTTTGTTGCAGTTGACCATTATATGCAAGCTTGCATATAGCATGTATGCATATGTAAGCTTGCAAAGAACATTAGCAAAAACAATCAAAAGACGATTATAACAACTTAATAATTTTCATAATAATCACATGCAAAAAAATAAAATAAATGCATTCCAATTCCATGGCAGAAAACTATTACCATAGATAATAAATTAAAAAAAAAAAAAACAAAAACAAAAACTTAAAATTCTGCAATATCTACATATATTAAAAAAAAAAATAAGAGAAAATTAAAGAGTAGACTAACACTTGCATTTGTTCATCCACCACAGTTTTAGAAAGCTGCTTGGAAAATGTGTTCTGTTGCTGCTCTTTTTTCAAATAACTAAAAGTAACAAACTGGGAGTATTGCACCAGTTAGGTGTGATATGCTAAAAACCTACAGCTCTAACTTTGAATATAATTTAAAAGTTACAGAATTTCAAATGACAGAACATCAAACGGAACTTTAAATCTGCAATCAATTAATAAGAAATCTGGTGTTATCATTCAGTTTTTAGATAACCTAGGGGAGGAACTCCAAAAGAGGAGACTAAAATTAGATTTTCAAATCCATTTAAAATCATATATATAGAGAGATACATGGCCTAATTTCTGGCTGGTTTTGCAAGTCTTGCTCATAAATACTAGCATATACCTTTATTGTGAAGTATTTTGAATTCTGGACTAATGCATTTAATGCCTGTGGCCTTTTCTAAAATTTTAATGTAGTGCAGGTGAAACCTTTTCTACTGCATATGATAATGTCCAGATTTCTAGAAAATGCAAACATCAGGTAGAACACCAAGTCAACTATTCTTTAATTTATTATGAAGGGAAAACTGACTGGCATGGAAAACCAGAATAAATAACATCACTGATCTGAAAACCACATGTGCTGCTTAAATGAAACACTGAATGTCAGCTGGCACAAACTACAGTACGCTTATGCATAGATAACCTATCCATTAAAATGTTAAGACATATCATATGCATCCCTGTCTCTACACTAATAAGACAATTCTAACAGTTAAATCACCCTCCGATATTAATTTGACAAGCCCCAACTGACCATTTTCTGTTTACAGTGAAGGTCTGACCTACCGAACTGAGGAACCCAGTTGAGTGTAGCACCCCACGCACCACACACACACAAATACACGCATGCATGCTATCACGGGATAACGCTTAATAAATTTTTGTGTCATTTTTAAGATGCCAATCATCAGAAATACGGCTTAATATTACCGATGGTCAACTTTAATCAACACACGCTCAGCCCCCTGCGTATGCGCTTACGAGCTGCGGGTGGCAGGGACGGTGCTACAGATAGCGCTGGTGTAATTCAAAAGCGTGTGTTGGCACCAGCCCTCATTTATTACAATAACGATCAAGGTTTGGAAGCTTCTTATCAGAACTGGTACCACAACAGAGATAATTCTGCCCTAACACCACGGTGAAAGTGAAAGGATTCACAAAACTGTTCCCACATTTTACCCAAGTTTCCCAGTGACCGAAACAAACACCAAGCTGCAGAATGAAAACAAACACACGGCAAGCCAAGCAACTGCCTCCCTCCCTGCAATGCCGTACAGTCCCCTCTTTCCAAATTTCACCCTGGTAAGCTCATTCTGCAAAGAGGCACCAGTGCTGTATTTCACTCAGCTGCCTTTGTTAGCATCCCGCAGGATAATTATTTTTGAACTTTTAGTTCCAGCAAGTCGGCTGGCTTAGATTCATTTACTGCACATCGTGACTGTGGAGACCGCTGAAAAAGTGTACAGTGCCACAGCAGAGACTCTGGGAGAAGCAAACGACTTTACTACATTACTTTAAATACATAACTTTAAGTAATGATTTATCAGATGATACTCTGTCTTCTTATTTATGATTATTGTTGAAGGCCTCAAAACCCGCATGGTTTCTGAAGCCTGAAATTTCCATAGCAGAGGAATTCGTGATTTGCTGTGAATCTTTTTCAGCCCTCAATAGATGGGAAAAGATTGAAATGCTCTGGAGATGAGTCCTCTTTATTTTTTTAATGAAAGGCTGTATAATATATTTTCTGTATGGCTGCAGCAGCTGTCAGGGAGAGCATCTCAGTTCAGCTCTATTATGGGAGAAGCAATACCCCATCCTATGGCATCGAGATACACTGAGGGGCCAGTACTGATTGACAGCTTGTCACCATGACGTCTTATTCCATCTCTGTTATGGAGAAAATTAATGTCACACCACCAGCCTTATGACTCGCTGTCATCTTAGAACTGCTCACCTTTTATCAATGCTCTAAATAACATTTCAAGCCCATCGTCTCACGGTGGACAATCTGGTCAAGGGACATTAAATCGGATGACTGTGAAATGTCATAATAAAAATGGAATGCTAACAACTTCTTCTCTAAACTAGCTCCTCTGGTTTTTAAACTGTGACAAGGGGGACCGCGGGTTCAGCACACCCGTTCTGAAAAGGTCATACAATCTCTCTTGGTCTGTACCCATTAATGCGCCCCCCTCCTCACCCCAAAAGGAATTAATCTTTTCAGACAATTGTGGTAAAATAATGGTTCAAACAGTAATGCCTGTTTAATTTGTAAGGCTCTGATGTTCAGCTACAAATGGTTAAATGACAGTAATAGAGTCATTTTCCAAGGCTATTTGATCTGATGGCAAGGTCAGCTCATTAACTGTTTTTGGCTGCAGAAAGGGTGCAAAATAAATTTCTCAAATGGAAGCTAGATTTTGTAAGAGGACAAAAAATAAACCCCAAAATACAGCCACTCAGTGGGGAACAGTACATCTTGCTAATTGCGTACTCTTTCTTTGTATCAGTTCTGATGCAGAGATACGAATACAAAAGACAAATCAGATGTCAGTGAAAAGAAACTATCTGAATTTTGTTGATACTCGTCATTTCTTTCTTCTGCTGTCCACTGGTCACTTTAATAAAAACAGTAAAATTTATAAAAAAGATGTATTGATGCTACAATTTTTAAAAACACATAATGAGAAATTCATGCCTCTGCAACATGAACATCTGCCAAAAATATATTTTCAAATGCATAGTCATGTAAATATAAGAAAAGACACATATCCATGAATATGCAAAAAATGGAAATAAATAGATCAATCTTACACCACATAATCATGCTTTACACTGGGGACAAAATATTGAGAATTTAGGAAAAGCAATTAATAATACACAGTCGTAACATGTTTCTATACTGCTACTAAATTATCATATCCATCAGTATCACTTGACTGCCATATCTTCACACACAATAATCCACAGAAATACAGTATTGTTGCACTTGGTAGCAAGAAGTATGTCACTTCAAAAACGTATCCATCAGAAATTTATTGTATTTATAAAGATCTATTCTGACAACCACGGACTGTCTTGGTGAATTCCATAATGTGCAATAACTCTCTTAATTGTAATTATTTTTCAAAGATGGTGCACAATACCTTAGCTCTCAGTTGGTTTAGGAATATTATGTTTAGCCTCACTAAGTCACCTCTATTAAACTGTGTTTATGATAACACTATTGGTGTATGAGTTGTACAAGCATTAGCAGACAGCTGATTCAGTGGAGATAGCCAGAATAAATTTGCTGAAGCGCACATCCTGCTAATCTGTTTGAAGAATATTGTACAGCATTAGTACTAGCACTTCATGTTATCTGCACAGCCTGATAAGGTACATCTTTATTAAATTCAGTTATTGAAAGGATGTCAGTCATGGAATAGGAATATTTTAAAATCTAAAAAAAAATTAAGCGGCTCTTTGTTAGTCAGAGCTTGGTTTAATGGCTGAGTGTCTAGAGAAGCCTTTCTAAACACCTGGCAGCATTGTACAATAAAAGCTTTGTAATTTTAAGTGGAAATAGCTTTTTTTTTTTTTTTTTTTTCTCCTTTCTCCGTGTGTAGTAAGACAGTTACTTTTAGTGATTTAGGTATTAGCAAATGCTGGAGTAAGAGCTCCCCTCTCTGTTGCTTTGATAGAACTACACAGAGTCTGTGTAACATGAGGATGCTGGGAAATGAAAATAATTTGCTTCAGAATATTCTGAAATGGAAATATTGTTTAAAACAATTATTTTGATGACACAAAATACTTGATCCACCCTCTAACCTGCAGACCAAAAAAAAAAAAAGTTTCCTTGCTCTTTAGCAGATGCTCAGAAAAAGGCCAAAAACTATTGGCACCTCAAACCATTTGGCATAAAAACCCACCAGAAACTGTACAGTCACCGAGTGACCCCTTAGTTATTTTGTGCTTGACAGAAATTATCTGAAAGGCAGTAAAATTAACTTACGTCACATGATCATACCAAATAGCCGAATTACTGTGTAAAAAAATACCTTACTGAATAAGAAGTATTTGTAGCCTTCTTGGTGTCACCTGTACCAGCTGCGACAATGTTAGTAACTGCTTTAAATGAATGTCACTGGCTGAGCGTGATAAGAATATAAGGGATATATTTAGAGTTTTTTCTGCCGATAATTAGCATTTATATAAGCAAACATTTTGCAAACAAAGGGCAAAAGAGAAGAGCTCCATACATATCTCTTCAGTATCTCCTCTCGCTCCTTCTGGTCCTCCAGGGAGTTGACGGAGAGGTCAGAGATAGTGACGGCAGCTGAGGCTGTGAGAGTGACCAGCAGCACCAGGCACCCCTCTCCCTCCTCCAGCGGCATCTCCAACTTGTGGGTTTGTTCTTTACTCAGGGTCGACAGGTCAACCTGGCACCTGGAAACACATTCTCCATCAGCATGTGGTTTTCTTCACATCAAACAGGAGCACACTGGCTTACTTGCATTCAGCTGGACAAAAAGCCCAATCAGTAGAAATTCCTTCCCAGCTCCTGGAAGGATTTCTCTTCAGCTTCGACCCATGCTGCTTGCTTGACTTTTTTAAATAAAAAGTGATAACCTGTTATGCATGTGAACAATAAATACTAAAAAGCACATACAGACACTAGAAACAAGGTTATTATGCCTGATATTATGGCTAATATGCCTGACTTGAATGCAGTCAATTTTAAAAATCCAGCTTTGGATTCAAATCGTACTTTTTAATCATGCCTCTTGTACAAACACAAAACGTAAGTTTTGATGTGAACGTTTTTGATACCATTCACCTAACGAGAGTAAAAATCCTATCTCTCTCTCAAAAAAAAAAAAAAAAAGAAAAAAGAAATCTATGTGGACTCGATTGTGATGGAGTTAACGTGACTGAGCGAGCACCACCCAAAAGGCTCAGCTCTCTTGCAGTAAGCTGCGCGTGGCTCAGGGTCAAAGCTTCATGCAGGCATCCAGGATAAAATTTGATGCTGCAACCCCCGATATAATAAGATGTCTCACGTTGTAATGAGCAGGGAGTGCTTATAACTGCGCAGAGTGGCTGAAGCCAATCCACACTGCTTGATCCCTTTCTGAATAACCCTGGCTGTACCATGCACTGAGCTAATGAAGAATGGCTCCGTACGTGCTGGCCAGCAGAAACGGCTCTGCAACGTCTTTAAAAATAAAAGGTAGAGCATGGATGGAAAAGCAGTATCACTGCTAACAAAGAGCTGACCGCAAGCTTCTCATTAAAACAAGAATACCTTAGGGTTAGTAGTAAGTCTGTGCACAGTTCAGAAGTTTAATATCTTAATTTGCCTAATTCACAAGTTTCGACTTTCTTAGGTTGCAACTCTGAGCATGTCTGGAAATTCAACACCTGTGTCAAATGCAATGCCAGCCTGCACTGCATAGGAATTTCTGTGAAAAAGCACTGTTTGGAATACTTCTACTTACAGCATCCCCCAGTAATGCTTTGCCAATTCACTGCTCTAAATAAAAACAAGAACAATATTGAAATAAAGCAAATGAATATATTCTATGTATAGTTAAGTCACTGAATAGTCTACTTTTAACAGCGATTATTTAATGTGACAAGCACATGTTCTATATGCCACTCTCACTAAACTAAACATCTAGCAAACTCGTTTCATAAAATGTCAATTGATTTTAAATAGAAAGATAATGTGGTGACCACAGGGCCAATAAACTGAGAAAAAGGTGGCAGACATGAATAAATAGGCATTTAAGGACAGGAAATAGCCAATTATGAGAATAAATGTGGCCTCATAAAATGGGTGCTGTGCTATCACAGGCAGATTAAATTTGCTACAGGAGAATTTCCTTTTAATTTTTTTTTTAAACTTTTACTGTCTGTTACACAGCCACCAAGATTAAACTACTGCAGAGCTCATACAGTAGCAGGGTTCTACTATTTTACAATGAAAACAATTTCTAACTTACACAGCATTCAGATCTTAACGCTTACCTTTTATTTGGAACTCTTGGGATGATAAGGAGTGAGAAATGACATTAGCAACAGTAAGGAAAGATTAAAGCTGTTGCTGTCAGTGCAGGCTGAGGGTCAATACAAGTTTTGTGCACGTACATAGGCTGTCAAATTTTTATTTAGGCTGCAGGGAGGAGCACAAAGCCCTCCTTAAGATAACAAATATAGTAATCAAGCATTCAAAGTTGGAGTAGGTTAAGATGCTCCTGGTGTTAAATATTCTTTGATAGCCTCTTTCAAAAGAGATATCCCTCAGAAATATGCCTCTGCAACAATATTGAGTCTTTAACCAATAATCATTGAATGAAACCATCTAAACTCTCTTAAAGTCAGTAAAAGAATCAGGATCTCATTATGATACAAATAAGGCAGAAATATTCCATCCCTCGTGCTAAAATAGGCAACAAAAGCTACCCCCACTGGAACAAAAAGACCCTACATGCATCAGAAAACTGCAATGGCTGTAAAATTACAGGGTTTACATCAAAGATAGAAGATCAGAGTTCTCCAATTCTTGAAGTTACAGCACTTCTGCAACATCAGTAGTCCGTACTATTTTTTATTTCGGTTAAATGAAGCAACCGACAACTCGGTTTTACCCGTGCACTATCCCTACAGCTATAAAATGTTCCTAAGAGCACCACATCTAGAACAGACTGCCAGAGAAACACGTCTCTATTGTCTGCTCGACAGATCTCCATGAACAGCCCGTCACCAGCTTGTTATTTCCTAGAATCTTACAACGGGTAGGGAGCGATCTGGAAGCTTTTTCCAGTGAAAGCCCCAGCTACTTTTCAGGAAAAATATCCCCTGGAGGCCCCTCAGATAATCTGCTGAGGGAGTAGGGTTGTTCTGCTGAGGAGGGTCACCACCACGCTGTACAGGAACCCCGGTCACGCAGCTCGCGCCGTCTCACTCGGGGCCGGTGCCCGCGCGGCGCACTCGGCGTGCAGCCCAGTCGGGAGGTGAGGGAGACTTCCCAGGTTACAGGCACTGTGAGGTAAAAAACTGCCTCTTTTTTCCTTTTTTTTTTTTTTTTCCCCCTCCCATTAATAGTCAAGTTTTTCACGGGGGCGGGGGGGGGGGAATTAAAATTAACTTTGTTTGCTCTCACACCACGTTTTCCTGCAAAAAAAAAAAATTAAACCATTTTTTGTTAGATCTACTTTGTCCTCACCGTATATTTTCACGGGACCTAAACAGGGAAGGAAGCCTGGTTTTATTAAAGTATTACCTAAGCACTCACACTATCCTAGAATAACCTTTACAGACATCAGTAGGAAACTCACAAAACTCCTTTTTGGATTAGATTTCCTTACAAGCACTGAAGTTAACAAAGTATTTCTAAAGATAAATAGCTTTGGAAAGTTCAAGTTGACAATGCCCCTTTACAGAGTATATACAAGTATTCCAAGCTTTAAAGCTTTAGCAATGCTGACTTTTACATCAGTTAAGATGTTCTCTTAAAAGACATTTGTCACCTACAACTGTTTCCATGGAGAACAAAGATGCTTTGAGGATGAAGGTGAACTTGAATGTTACCAGAAAGTGGTGCAGAATGAGCACTGTGGTGGTAGAAATTTTTGTCTTGCATTCTCAAATTGAGGACCATGAAAGATTACAGCCATTTCGAGGAGGCCATAAGTAGCGTATGACCGGCGGCTGTCACGCTGAAAGCAGGAGATAATAGTAATTTTGGAAAGTTCAGTTTCTTAAAGGAATTATTATTTACAAGCTGCTGCTAGAAGAAAAAGTTCTCCACCTGTGTTGAGATCAGCCTGAAGAATTACGGCAAAAATAGCCATTAACTCCACAGACAGATTTTCAAGCACAGCTATAAATCACATTTCAGGGAATTCTAGTGCTTAGGGCAGTCTGAGTATTTTGCATTACTGAGCTGTTCCACGCTGTATGGTCCCTTCAGTGGAGACTGCTGGGCACTCGCCAGATCAGGATTTTCAGCCCCTGAGAGATCAGAAGGCAGAAAAAACACGCGAGCACCTCAAGATCCTGCGCCAAAGCATCACAGGTAAGTCGCTGCAGAAACAGGGAACGGCTCCCAAGGAGAAAGATTTGAAGATTCAAGGGGGATCCACCACTTCTCTGAAACTGTGTTCAGTGTGTTAATCACCCAAACTGTTAGAAATACATTTCTGATTTATTTTTAATTTGAATATATCTGGCCTTTGGTTCTTTTTATGCCTTTCTTTACTCGGTTGAAAAAGCCTTTAGTGCTCCGTATTTTCTTCCAGTGAAGGTACTCATATACCATAATCATATCTCTTCTTGATCTTCCTTTTGATATGCTAAACACCTTCAGCTCCCTATACATTTCCTTGGAACACATCTCCTACAGCCCTCAAATGACTTTTTGTAACTTTTCTGATCCAGTGAAATTCTCCTGCATCCTTTTTGAAGTGTGGAAGCCAGAACTATATGTAGTATTTTATTATCAGCATGTCTAAGAGGTAAAAATCACCTCCCCTCTCTAGTTCTAACAGAACCTGGAATGTAAGACCGCGTTGGCACCCTGGTGAAATATCCTTGCTAATGAATGAATTACAAAGGTAACGACATGACATAGAAGGCCTCTTAAAAGCCAGGTGGCCAGGCAAGGGAGAGACAGCAGATAGTGAGATCATTTTCTCACATGACAAAATAAAGCATAAAAGAGGAATTGGCACAATCCTAAGTGATAGGGACAGAAAAGCACCACTTGGCTACAACCCAGGCAACTTAATTATCATCATGACTTGTTCAAGAAGACAGCCTTTTAACTCCACTGTGATCCAGGTCTATGCTGCTCCAAAGGATGCCAAGGAGAGGAAACTGTGCGATTCTGCAATTAGAACTGAGCTGGACACACATCAGAAGCAGCGAGGCATGAACTGCTACAATTTGTGAGACTCCGTATCCTTTATCAGAGGAGTACAATGTTCCAGTAAAACCAAGAAACAAACGGAGAGGGGAAATTCTGCAAAGCACCGAGAGAAAATGACACGGCTCAGAAAGACAGGACTGCAGTAACGCGAAGTTCTTGGAAGAACGAGAGCGCGGCATTTTTAACTGTAAAGATAATGAGAAAGAAATAAAATGACAGACCCCACACGATGCTTGAGATAGGTGGTGGATAAAGGTGATAGACTGAAAACCGGGAAAGCTCCCTAAGGAGCTGGAGACCGTAGCTCAGCTGAGTAGGACAGTGAGTGAGGGGGAGCGTGGTGGCACGCCTGGGAGGCTGTGGGGGATCACTGGGAGGCCGGGGGGGATCCCTGGAAGGCCGGGGGGGATCCCCAGGAAGCCAGGGGGGATCCCTGGGAGGCTGGGAGTGCCCTGCCTCGCTGCACAGCTCAGCAGCACCTGGGAGCCAGAGCTGCCCGGTGCCACGCAGCAGC